TTTTATATAATCATGTATTCTTACATAATACATCTATTAATTTACAATTAAGTTAATTTATTAAATTAATCCGATTAATTTATAATTGTTAGGTTAATTTATTAATTTAATAATTACTAAAATGAATTTATTTAACATAATTATTAATTTAATTAAATTTAATTGATTAAAATATGATTCAACTGATTCCCACAGGAACAAATGATATCATCAGCAGTAATCTAGGTGGAAACTCTAAAAACTTTCAAGTTCTGCATAGCAAAACTAAAGAATTTTAATATAGAAGACGTTAAAAAATAACTGCTTTGCTACTTTTGACACCAATGATTTTGGATGGTACTAAAAGGAAAGCTATGCTCAGTGACACTTAAGAGAAAATATAGGTCATATGGCAAAAAGGGTAGAACACTTTTTCGAAGAAGTAGTCTTTTCTTTTATATTTCTAAAGGAAAATCCCAGCTACAAATACAAATCCATGACTATGAGAGTTAGGGTGTGTGACACACAAAGATAAGCCAGATATGAAAATGATCTTCACTAATTCTCAGGTTAAAACAGGAGAGCTGAGTAGAAATCATGCAGTATTTATGCCTAAACATATATATACCAATTTCTGGAATATGGGAAATAAAGTGAACTCATTTAACATAAATAACTAGTCTCACAGATTTTCTGAGACTTAAATACAAAAATTGAATAAATTAGTGCAAGAATATACCAGCTTTTAAGACAATCACATAGAAGTCAGGAAGAATAATAGAGCTTAAATTGATATAAATTACATTCTTTAAAACTTCTTGGATTACATCATCTCATTCAATCCTTCTAACAATACGATCAAAGTAAATAGCCGATATTGTTGACAGCTGACCCAAACCCTAAACACAATCCTTTCTCCCTTGCCTTCATCTATTATAGAGACTTAAAAGCTACAATATACAATTTTCTAGCTTTCCTTGCAGAAAAGAGTAATCATGTAACATGGTTCTGGAAAATGAGCTGCAGGCAGACTTCTCCAAAAGGGAGACTTTCTTTGCCAAATTAAAAGACAGAGCCTCACTAAGAGAAACTCAATTTTTCCCTTTAGTCCCTTAGTCCCTCCTATTTTCTATCTCTGAAACATAGTCATGAAGCCCAGAGTTCTAGTAGCCACTTTGTAGTCTTGAGTCAAGATGCAAGAGTGGGGGTCGGACACAGTGGCTCACCCCAGTAATCCCAGAACTTTGGGAGGCTAAGGCAGGTGGATTACTTGAGGTCAGGAGTTCAAGACCAGCCTGGCCAACAGGGTGAAATCCCATTTCTACTAAAAATACAAAAATTAGCCAGGCATGGTGGCACATGCCTGTAGTCCCAGCTACTCAGGAGGCAGAGGCAGGAGAATCACTTGAACACAGGAGGCAGAGGTTGCAGTGAGCCCAGATCATGCCACTGCACTCCAGTCTGGGCAACAGATACCATCTCATAAAAAATAAAACAAAAAAGAAACAAGAGGGTAAAGGATTACACACTAAAGGTGTTAAACAGAAAAATGGAAAGAGCTCAAATCCCTAATGTCTTTATTGACCCAGCATACCTGTGCTAGACTGCCTATCTCTTAATTTTTCGCCATATGAGACAAACATACTATTTATGTAAGTCATTAATAGTCAGTTACCTGTTTTTAAAATCTTAACCTGTTGTATAATCCTAAATGATAAAGAACACCATTATTATCACTATCTTAAATACAAAAAAACTGAGGTCCACAAAGCTTGACTTGCACAAGTTCACATTACTTGGTCAGTCCTCAAATCCAGGTATGTTCAAAGCCAAGTTCAGTGTTCTTTCCAGAAGTTAGTCCTATATGAAAACTCATGAGCTTAATAGAATTATGTTAAACACTAAAAGGAAGAACTAAAAAGAAAAGCTGAATTATACTGTTACAATGGTGTTCCATACATAGTCCATGTGGAAAAGAAATATGGATGATGTTTTCTCAGAAAAGATTATAAAACTTGTATCAAAACATGTTATAAAAAACTGAAGGATAGTTTCAATTATCCTGATATCTTCTGATATAAGTTTAATTTGAAGATAACACCAACTCCCTATTTCCTATTTAAAAAAATATATTGCTCAGAAAGCAGCAGAAGCAACAATTGTTACTTACATCCTCAACATCATTCCAACAAGAACCTTGCAATAAAGTGATGACATTACCTTTATATTAATAACAGTCAGAAAAGAAAACGATGAACATGCCCAAACATATGTCCTAAACTTTAGAAAAGTAGATTTCAAAAATGTTTCGAGAAAAAAATAGATATACCATATAAAAAGGAAAAGTATAGATTCCTTATTCAACTCTAATCATTTTAAATTGTATCAAAGACTAGATAAATACAAAGCAAAAGTATATATCAAAGATGCACATGGTAATATATCTGGAGGAAGAGTTAGTATCATATATGACACACTCAAAATTCAAAATTATCTTGGCAATCTAAAAACTTACACTGAAATCCCAAAAACGGAAGGTAAAGACATGAGCACAAAGGCCTACATTTATACTGAAAATTAATAACATAAGATTTAAGAAGGGAAAGCCAGGCCAAACAGGAGCTCATATACTTAAGATCTTATTAAGATTTTTAGGCTTTAGTTAAATATCAACTTATTATAAGTCAGTGCTATGATATTGCTGTCAAAGTGATTAATGCAATCTTTGTCTACATTAATAGAACAAGAACATGCAGAATAAAGAAAGCAACACAGTTGTGCTACATTCCATGGCTACCAAGTGCAGCACAGTAAAGAGTTTGGAGTCAAGCAGACCTCTGTTCAAATCCTGGCTTGGTACCCACTTATTAATTACAAAAGTGGTAGACAAAACACCTTTCTAAGCTTTCATTTCTTTATCTACTGTTATTATACAGATACACAAAAGGCATTGCACTATTCATACAATAAGAGCGCAATGAAGAGTACCTATAAGTTGTTATTAGTATCCTGCTTGTGGTACTATATATTTCCAGCTATAATAGTCTCAGATAGATCCTGATAACCTAGAGTATATCCAAAGAAAAGTACAAATATGGAAAATAATGTTGATCTTTTAAAGTAGCTGAAACTACAAGAAATAATTAAGATCAGAGTAGAACTGAAAGAGATAGAGATACAAAAAACCCTTCAAAACCTCAATGAATCCACAAGCTGGTTTTTTGTAAAGATCAACAAAATAGACTACTAGCCAGGCTAATAAGAAGAAAAGAGAAAAGAATCAAACAGACACAATAAAAAATGATAAAGGGGATATTACCACTAATCCCACAGAAATACAAACTACCATCAGAGGACACTATAAACATCTCTACACAAATAAATTAGAAAATCTAGAAGACATGGATAAATTCCTGGACACATACACCCTCCCAAGACTAAACTGAAAAGAAATCAGAATCCCTGAATAGACAAATAACAAGTTCTGAAATTGAGGCAGCAATCAATAGTTTACCAACCAAAAATTGTCCAGGACCAGATGGATTCACAACCAAATTCAACCAGAGGTACAAAGAGGAGCTGGTGCCATTCCTTCTGAAACTATTCCAAACAATAGAAAAAGAGGGACTCCTCCCTAACTAATAACGAGGCCAGCATCATTCTGATACCAAAACCGGCAGAGACAAAACAAACAAAAAATCAGGCCTATATCCTTAAGGGACATCAATGCGAAAATCCTAAATAAAATACTGGCAAAACAAATCCAGCAGCACATCAAAAAGCTTGTCCACCATGATCAAGTTGGCTTAATCCCTGGGATGCAGGGCTGGTTCAACATATGCAAATCAGTAAATGTAATCCATCACATAAACAGAACCAATGACAGAAACCACATGATTATCTCAGCAGATGCAGAAAAAGCCTTAAATTCAACAGCCCTCAATGCTAAAATCTCTTATTAAACTAGGCATTGATGGAACATATCTCAAAATAATAGCTATTTATGACAGACCCACAGCCCGTATCATACTGAATGGACAAAAACTGGAAGCATTCCCTTTGAAAACCAGCACAAGACAAGGATGTCCTCTCTCACCACTCCTATTCAACATAGTATTGGAAGTTCTGGCCAGGGCAATCAGGCAAGAGAAAGAAATAAAGGGTATCCAGACAGAAAAAGAGAAAGTCAAATTGTCTCTGTTTTCAGATGACATGATTGTATATTTAGAAAACCCCATCCTCTCAGCCCAAAATCTCCTTAAGCTGATAAGCAACTTCAGCAAAGTATCAGGATACAAAATCAATGTGCAAAAATCACAAGCATTCCTACACACGAATAACAGACAAACAGAGAGCCAAATCATGAGTGAACTCCCATTCACAATTGCTACAAAGAGAATAAATACCTAGGAATACAACTTACAAGGGATGTGAAGGACCTCTTCAAGGAGAACTACAACACACTCCTCAAGGACATAAGAGAGGACACAAACAAATGGAAAAACATTCCATGCTCATAGGAAGAATCAATATTGTGAAAATGGCCATACTACCCAAAGTAATTTATAGATTCAATGCTATTCCCATCAAACTACCATTGACTTTTCTTCACAGAATTGAAAATAACTACTTTAAATTTCATATGGAACCAAAAAAGAGCCTGCATAGCCAAGACAATCCTAAGCAAAAAGAACAAAGCTGGAGACATCATGCTACCTGACTTCAGACTATACTACAAGGCTACAGTAACCAAAATAGCATGGTACTAGTACCAAAACAGACATATAGACCAGTGGAACAGAACAGAGACCTCAGAAATAACACCACACATCTACAACCATCTGATCTTTCACAAACCTGACAAAAACAAGCAATGGGGAAAGGATTCCCTATTTAATAAATGGTGTTGAAAAAACTGGCTAGCCATATGTGGAAAGCTGAAACTGGATCCCTTCCTTACTCCTTACACAAAATTAACTCAAGATGTATAAAAGACTTAAACGTAAGACCTAAACTGATAGACCTACGCAATATCATTCAGGAAAGAGGCATGAGCAAAGACTTCATGACTAAAACGCAAAAAGCAATAGCAACAAAAGCCAAAATAGACAAATGGGATCTAATTAAACTAAAGCACTACTGCACAGCAAAAGAAACTCTTATCAGATCAGAATGAACAGGCAACCCACAGAATGGGAGAAAATTTTGCAGTTTATCCATCTGACAAAGTGCTAATACCCAGAATCTATGAAGAACTTGATCAAATTTATAGGAACAGAAAAAAATCAAAAAGTGGGCAAAGGATATGAACTGACACTTCTCAAGAAAAGACATTTATGCATTCAACAGACACATGAAAAAAATGCTCATCATCACTGGTCATTAGAGAACTGAAAATCAAAACTACGGTGTGATAGCATCTCACACCGGTTATAATGGCAATCATTAAAAAGTCAGGAAACAACAGATGCTAGAGAGGATGTGAAGAAATAGAAATGCTTTTACACTGTTGGTGAAAGTGTAAACTATTTCAACCATGGTGGAAGACAGTGTGGTGATTCCTCAAGGATCTAGAACGAGAAATACCCATTTGACCCAGCAATCCCATTACTGGGTATATAGCCAAAGGATTATAAATCATTTTACTATAAAGATACATGCACATGTATGTTTATTGTGGCATTGTTCACAATAGCAAAGACTTGGAACCAACCCAAATGCCCATCAATGATAGACTGGATAAAGAAAACATGGCACATATACACCATGGAATACTATGCAGCCATGAAAAGGATGAGTTCATGTCTTTACAGGAACATGGATGAAGCTGGAAACCATCATTTGCAGCAAACTAACACAAGAACAGAAAGCCAAACACCGCATGTTCTCACTCTGGGGTGGGAGTTGAACATGGACACATGGTGGGGAACATCACACACTAGGGCCTGTCAGGGGGTTAGGGGCAGGAGGAGTATCCATTTTCTATTCCAGGACCTAATCCAAGATCCCATATTGCATTAGTTTCCATGTTTCCTTAGTCTCCTCTGGACTGTGATAATTTCTTGGTCTTTCCTTGTCTCTATTACCTTGGTGCTTTTGAAGAGTACTGGTCAGGTAATCATCAGTTTTAGGTAGAATATCTCTCGGTTTGGGCTGACCAAAGTTTCTTTGTAGTTGAAATAAGTTATGGACTTTGTGGAAAGATACCACAAAGTTATGTTTAGATCTTATTAATGGTGACATTAATAACCTTGTTCCCTTGGTTAAAATGGGTTCTAGGGGGGTTCTGCACTACAAAGTTACTATTTTGCCTTTGTGATTAATAAATATTTTGTAAGAGATATTTTTAGGCTATGCAATACCACATTTTTCTGTAAACTTTTACCCACTAATTTTACCATCCCTCAGTGTATCTCACCTACAGCAATTATTACTCTGGTGTTCCAATTCCTGTTTTTCTCATTCCCTCTACATTTATTAATTGGAATTCTTCTATAAGGAAGAGAGTTGTCTCTTTGTCACTCATTTATTTATTCAAGCATTGTGTGTGTGTGTGTGTGTGTGTGTGTGTGTTTGTGAACTTGTGGATATTATTTTATTAAGTCACATTTATTTATTTTGTTGCACAAATTGTTCCAGCTTTGGCTACTGAGAGCTCTTTCAGCTCATACTCTGTGACTTTTTGACATATCCTCAATCTTTTCTTATAAGCACTTCCTTACTTTCTGGCACCACAAAGGTCCCAGGCTCATCTTGTATTTTCCTGCCCATCCTAGAATCATCCACGTCTCTAAGGAGACTTGGTTCCTTCTGTTGGAGAATAATATATAGAAACCAGGATTTAGGTACCACATGTGTTCATTGCTACCAGGGTATCACTACTTCTAGGCCCTCTCAAGTAGAAAGACCTTGGAGAGGTATATAGGGTTACCAACTGATGTACACACATATAACTATGTTTATTTTTCTCTCTTAAAAGGAAAAGAAGAACACACTAGTCCAACTCCAATCCCACACTAAAGAATTCATTTTAGCATTCTCATTTTCTTATCTGTAATTTCTTTCTCTGACAGTGAAAAGCCTACTTTTCATAAACTACAATATATTTGCTTATTTGCTCAACACTAATATACATACAAAGTAGTTTCAGAATTGCTAACCCATGATCTTTTAAGAAACATATTTACCAACTACAGTACCATTCAAAATAAAGTTATTCAGCTTCTTTCTCCTCCAAGTTTTCAGCATGGTTGTGCCATTCATCACAATACAGTTCAATGTATTTGGCAAATCTGCAGTCTACCTTAGGTTCTCCCAATATCCTGGTTGTTTTTTTAAAATTGAAGACAGTAAAATTCACTCTTTGTTGCATACAGTCCTATGGGTTTTGACAAGTGCATAGGATCAAGTAACCACTAGCGCATTACTATACAAAACAATATGATCACCTCAAAAGACTCCCTCATGCTACTTTCCATTATCAAGCCCTCCATCCATCCTCATTCTGGCCAACACTTATTTGTTGTTTTTTGGTTTTGTTTATCTGTTTCTATAGCTTTCTCTTTTCCAGAATGTCATAACAATGGAATCGTACAATATGTAGCCTTTGAGATATGGCTTCTTTCACTTTGCAAAATGCATTTAGAATTCATCCAAGTTGTTGTCAATCAATAGTTAATTCCTTTTTATTGCTGAATAATATTCCATTGAATGGCTGTACCATAGTTTGTTTACCCATTCACCCACTGAAAGAAATCACAATATAGTTGTTTCCAGTTTTTGAGAATGAATATATAGCTTCAATAAACATTCACATACCAGTTTTCCTGTGAATATTAGTTTTCAGTTGACCTGAGTAAATTCATGAAAGCAAAGCTACAGGATCATATGGTAATTACACATTTAGCGTTATAGGAAACTATCAAACTTTTTTCCAGAATGGCTGTAGTATTTTGCATTCTCACTAGCATTGGATGAGAGTTCCAAGTGCTCTACATCCTCAACAATAATTGTTATATTCAGTTTTGTTTGTTAGACTTCTAATAGAGTTGTAGGGGTATCTCAGTGTGGTATTTTCAATTATCTTTGTTTGACTTCTAATAGATTTGTAGTGTTATCTCATTGTGGTTTTAATTTCCATTTCCCTAATGACAATGATGTTGAGCATATTTTTATATACTTATTTTCCATCCATATATCTTCTTTGGTAAAGTGTCTGTTCATACCTCTTGCCTGTGTTTTATTTGGTTAGTTTCTAATGTTTTTAATTTTAAGAGTTCTTTATATATTCTAGGCACAAATCCTTTACCAAATTTGTGATTTTAAAATATTCACTCCTCGTCTATGGCGTCACTTTTTCATTAAAGGGTCTTTTACAGAGCATTTTTAAATGTTGATAAAGCCCAATTTATCTATTTTTCTTGTTTTCTTTTTATGGATCATACTTTCTTTTTTTGTTTGTTTGTTTGTTTTTTGAGACACAGTCTTGCCCTGTCCCCCAGCCTGGTGTACAGGGGTGTGATCTTGGCTTACTGCAGCCTCTGCCTCCCAGGTTCAAGCAATTATCCTGCTTCAGCCTCCTGAGTAGCTGGGATTACAAGCATGTGCCACCACACCTGGCTAATTTTTATATTTTTAGCAGAGACAGGGTTTCAGCATGCTGCTCAAGCTGGTCTCAAACTCCTGACCTCAAATGATCCATCCGCCTCAGCCTCCCAAAGTGCCGGGATTACAGGCATGAGCTACCATGCCCGGCCCATACTTTCATTAGTGTATCTAAAAACTTTTTGTTAATTCCAAGATCACACAGATTTTTCCCCTTTACATCTAGAAATTTTATAAGTGTTGTGTTTTGCATTTAGGTTTACGATTGTTTTAGTTATTTTTTGTATAAAGTATGAGAAAGGTAGCAAGGTTTATCTTTTCACATAAGAACTTCCAATTTTTCCAGTTTCATTTGTCGAAAAGACTCTCCTTTCTGCATTGAGTTGCCTTTGTAACTCTGTCAAAATTTAGTTGACATTATTTTGTGGGTCTATTTCTAAGCTCTCTATTCTGCTCCACTGATCTACATGTTATTCTTCTATGAATACCACACTCCCTTGATTATAACGGCTCTATATTGTCTGACTTTTTTGAAACTATTTTACTCACTCTAGTTCATGTGTGTGTGTTTATGGTGTGTGTGTGTGTATTCATATACACAATCACATACATACAGAAAAGTTTTCTATGGTTTTTGGGGACTGAGTTGAATCTACAGATCACATCAAGAAGAACTAATTTTTTTGTTTTTTTTTTTGAGATGGAGTCTCACTCTGTCACCCAGGCTGGTTCTGGGCTCACTGCAACCTTCGCCTCCTGGGTTCAAGCAATTCTTCTGCCTCAGCCTCCTGAGTAGCTGAGATTACAGGAGCGTGCCACCACACCCCACTAATTTTTGTAGTTTTAGTAGAGACGGGATTTCACTATGTTAGTCAGACTGGTCTCGAACTCCTGACCTTGTGATCCACTCACCTCGGCCTCCCAAAGTGCTGGGATTACAGGCATGAGCAACCACGTCCAGCCAAGAATCGATATCTTAATAATACTGAGACTTCTAATCCATTAACACATTTCATCTCTCTTTCTCTCTCAATTAATCTGATTTCTTTCACCACTTTTTGTAGTCTTCAGCGCATATAGCGCATATATGTGTATACATATATACACATAAATGTATTCCCTACACATTTTATTGGATTCATTAAGGAAGTTCCTTACTCTTCCGGTTTGCTGAGAGTTTTTGTTTTTTTGTTTTTTGGGTTTTTTTTTTTTTTTTTTGATTGGGTCTCACTCTGTCACCCAGACTAGAGGGCAGTAGTGCGATCTCAGCT